GTCTGGTCGAGCTCGGCCGAGCTCCAGCAGTCGCCCGACACTTGGATCGGCAGCGCCGCCAGCCTGCACCAGCTGCTGCGGGCGGGGGCAGTCCGGCTGCCGGTCGTCCTGGTGCCTGCCTCAGCGGCAGAGCTGCACAAGCGCGGAAGCGGCCACCACTACGACAGCTATCCGTCCCGCTTCCGGAGCCAGCAGTACAAGGTACGGCCGGCGGCTTCAATCACCACGACAGCTATCCGTCCCGCTTCCGGAGCCAGCAGTACAAGGTACGGCCGGCGGCGTCAATCACTACGACAGCAATCCGTCCCGCTTCCGGGGCCAGCAGTACAAGGTACGGCCGGCGGCGTCAATCACTACGACAGCAATCCGTCCCGCTTCCGGAGCCAGCAGTACAGGGCAGGGCCGGTGGAGTCAGCGCTGGATCGGCCCGACGGGAGTCGAGCACGCCGCGAGCGCACCCGGCCCCGACGGGAGCCGAACACACCGCCGAGAGCACACCCGGCCCCGACGGGAGCCGAACACACCGCTGAGAGCACACCCGGCACCGACGGGAGCCGAACATGCCGCTGAGAGCACACCCGGCACCGACGGGAGCTGAACACGCCGCTGAGAGCACACCCGGCACCGACGGGAGCTGAACGCGCCGCTGAGAGCACACCCGGCACTGACGGGAGCCGAACACGCCGCTGAGAGCACACCCGGCACCGACGGGAGCTGAACACGCCGCTGAGAGCATACCCGGCACCCACAGGGGCGGAACACGCCGCTGAGAGCACACCCGGCACCCACAGGGGCGGAACACGCCGCTGAGAGCACACCCGGCACCCACAGGGGCGGAACACGCCGCTGAGAGCACACCCGGCACCCACAGGGGCGGAACACGCCGCTGAGAGCACACCCGGCACCCACAGGGGCGGAACACGCCGCGAGGACGCCCAGAACCCACAGGAACACGGCCCCTCAAGGCTGGTAATCCATCGACACATGGGGAGGGGGCAACAGAGACATTCCATGGGCCATTCGGAGAAACGTGCGTACTTTTTACGCTTTTTATATGTGTTCGAAAGTTTCAGCTTTTAACTGTAACACAGCACCGAGCCATCACGCCGTTTATACAACTCTACTCGGTGACCATGCTTAAAAGCAACACCAAACTAAACGTCCCATAATACCCACCATGGGTGTTGAATTCTCGCAATGATTGGAATGAGCCACATTCACTTACGCTCGCTATTTTGATAAGTGCAGTCTCAATCACGCGCCACCTTATACATTCACGGCAAGTCAAGTCTAAGGTCCCGCTGATCAAGCCGGCTAAGTAAACGAGCTCGCACATTGGCGACATAGCTCCACATTCTAGGACGGCATTTAGGTGGCACGCGATCAATGCGGTCAATTCTCAGGTCAGTATATGGTTTGGACGCTGTCCACCAAAAACTGCACATGCAAAGTAAGGCCACAAAGAGGTGGGGGGGGGGGGGGGGGGCATCCCGCGCACACTCCGCACGCCTCACGGCTAATGGTTTGTGAGTCCCAAACGCCTGGTGTTTCATCTGGAGGACACAGGCCACTAAGAACTCCGGAGTGACCGAGCTCGTTACGCGCCGCAGGTGTGTCGGCCTTCATCAGACCCTGGAGGACACAGGCCACTGAGTACTCCGGAGTGACCGAGCTCGTTACGCGCCGCAGGTGTGTCGGCCTTCATCAGACCCTGGAGGACACAGGCCTCCAAGCACTCGGGAGTGACCGGCTCGTTACGCGCCGCAGGTGTGTCGACCTTCATCAGACCAGATCGTGGAGTTCCTGAGGGCCCTCCACCTGGCGCGCAGTGGCAAGACGCACCAGCTCGCTACACTCTGCAGCGTCCGCCAATCAATGGCCGATATCGACACCAACATGCGGTTCGTTGGTTGAGGACGACCCGTCGACCGTGCTGCGAAGGATGCCGATCAATCCGTTTGAAAAAGTCTCAGTGGACAACTCGCCCAGCTTGGGCACCCGCGGCATGTGCTGAGCGGTTTGTCAGCGTCCTGTGACGCAGATGTAAATACACGACGGAGAGAGGCTGCTTGTGCTTGATGTAACTGTTCTGCTGACGAGGAAAAACGGGTCGCCAGACTACCATATAGGTATAGTTGCGCATTAACACGACTCCTTTTTTCACTCGATAACAATTAACCGATCCAAATTAAATAAGCATTTCAAAACCCGGTTAAAATTAGGCTGCTGTCTATATTTGCTAGTGAGTTTTTCTGTGGTCCTATGCAGGGCTTCATTATAAGGGCCCGCCATGCTGTCCACGTCAATGAACTATGTAAACGTGAGGCAATATCTTTAAGGCCATTGAGTGGCGTAGATCACATCACCACTTCGGATTCCGCAGGTATCTGGGGAGCCACCCTTCGTCCTCGTGCCCATGTAGTCCTAGGCACAAAATGGATCATCCAGCAACCCCGGTCAGCAACGCATTGCCTGCTATACTCACCGTCGCTTCCATATTTATAAATCGCGTGGTTTTGTTAATGAACACAAACTTACGCGAGCTGTTAAATGTAGTTGCGAGGAACATTAAACATGCAAAGAAATCACTGATGCATGCAAGCACTGGTGCATGAACTTTGCATAACTGTAAGCAATTAAACAGCGGATCTTTTCGCATCGAAAGTTAGATTGACTTTGCAAGATTGCTGACCTACGGCAGGTCAAACCCAAGCCGTGGCTGTCACCGAAGATCATTTCTGGCAATCGTTCAGTCCGATGCGACAAATCAGTGTTAGACGAAGTCACACATCTTGAAACGGTTTCATAGGCAACACAAGTTTTAAATTTAAAATAATAGTACATTTCACTGACCTGAGCCCTGGTATGAAGGCCAGACCGAGGTCAAAACTAGCCGCTATTTTACTCGAGAGCTTGCTGTGTGGGGCAATTCTGATACTCTTAAGAATGCAGTAGTTACAGGGACGGCAGCAGACATGCTCTGTGGGCTTCTTAAAGACCAGAGTAGTTCACTGGTCTGAAATGACCCTCAACATTGTGCTTTTAAGGGCAGACCGCCTCGTGTAATCCCTCACGCTTATTCAAATGACAAAATCGAAGCAATCTGCTGTTTTTGTTCATTTTGACCTTTTAAATGTCAAAGAGGTTGCTCATATTAAACGAAAACCAGCGATATGTTGCTAGGAACAGACATCTAGGTTTAAAGCCGTTGCATGAAGAGGTCTGGGGCACTTTGGACATCAATCTTGAGGGACCCTGTTTTTCTTCATTCGACCCAAAAGGCCTGAGCTCTAAACCTCAAATGCTCCAACCCTGTCCATTCGGTATCCCTAGCTCTCTTAGTATCCGAGACCTCGGGAGTCAAACTTAACACCTCAACCGGGCGAAGGGCATTCAGCCGGCCACCCGGGTGCGTGTTTAAGGGATTGCCCCGGCGTTGCGGCTTTCAAAAAATATTCAAAAACATTCTCGCGGGAAACCTAAGGACCAGTTACGTGAAATGGTCCTAGGTAGTGCCACTGCAGCGCCGTCAGGACACAATAATGATATCCGAATCGAAATGACGAGGCCGACACTTCGTAGCATCACTACGCTTTTTCCCTACAGGCGTGACCCACCGTCGTCAGGACAACCGCCGCGGTATCTCCATTGGTGTCAATAAAAGAGCGTTTGTGACTGGCTCAGCGGGCGGAAAGGGTTTGTTACTGAAAAGCGCATTGGTTGAGTCTTGAACCAGCCCGTCACTTTGGACCACGTGATACACACATTCCCAAATCCAAAGTGCGTCTCGAAAAGAGCCACTGAGTTAAATGCCATAGGGGAAAAAACAGAGCCATAGGATAATGCTTCGCTGAATCTGCAGCATAGTAGCTTTGCGTTCACTTATCCTTGCCTAAAGCAAATAAAATGCATTTCTTAAATGACATTGAGCCTTGAGTCCAATTAGATTTGCCCCTCCGGAGTGTCTATCTCAAATCAAAACTCTGAGCTGTCCAAAAGGACTTCACTAAAACTGGCATTACTAATCAAATCGTGCGAGTCTGATCTAACAATTGCTGTCAGGTACAAAACAGGTGGCATGCTTCCTTCGATATTTCGGTTCCATGGCTTTGTCACACGATTAATAACAATGCACATATTTGAGCCACATGCCCCTGCCAAAACCATTATACCTGCTCATGATCTTTCTGGTAAAAACACAGCCGAAACAATAATACATCTCTCCCTCTCTCCTTTCCCCTCGTTGTCCAGCGAGAATACGGCTACCAAGAGTGTCTCATGACCACAAACTTCCTCGAATAGGAGCAGTGGGCGGACAGGACAAGACCAATCATCCAGATTAACCATCCATAAGACCCTAGAAAACGACACAACTGCGTATATATCGGCCAATAAACATCGTGAACTGGTTCACACAATGTATTATTCTTATAATACACAGCGCATAAGCACACGTGACATCGGACCCTGTCAACCTCAACATCACTCCAGCATGGCCCAAACAGCTAGCGGAGCATCACCACAGCAGATCACCAGCGCAGGCAGGTGCGTTAACAGCGCGGGCTGGCGCGTCACCTCAGCGAAGGACCGCAGCAGCCGGCGCAATACCGCGGCAGAGGACCGCGGCCACCGGCGCGTCACCAGAGCGGAGGACCGCGGCAGCCGGCGCGTCGCCAGAGCAGAGGACCGCGGCAGCCGGCGCGTCACCAGAGCAGAGGACCGCAGCAGCCGGCGCGTCACCAGAGCAGAGGACCGCAGCAGCTGGCGCGTCACCAGAGCAGAGGACCGCGGCAGCCGGCGCGTCACCAGAGCAGAGGACCGCAGCAGCCGGCGCGTCACCAGAGCAGAGGACCGCAGCAGCCGGCGCGTCACCAGAGCAGAGGACCGCAGCAGCTGGCGCGTCACCAGAGCAGAGGACCGCAGCAGCTGGCGCGTCACCAGAGCAGAGGACCGCGGCAGCCGGCGCGTCACCAGAACAGAGGACCGCGGCAGCCGGCGCGTCACCAGAACCACGAGCCACTGGCGGCGGCCCTTGTCTTGGTGCGCCGTGCCTGGCGCCGATCGACTCGGGCCGGTGGCGGCAGGCCCTGCTCGGCAGCGCTGTGCCGCTGCGAGGACAGGTGCTGTAACACAAACCGGTCCGGTCAGGACGGCACGGCACGCGGGGGCGGTGGTCCGACGGCTGACGGGTCACCAGCAGCAGCCCCTTAGGCGATTCGCTGAGAAGGGTCGGAACATGATGCATGGAGGACATGGACCGCACCCCTCGAAAGCTAATCAATCAGTAGATCTCACTTCATTGCCTGTTGATTTTCTTCTCCCCCAAATCGATTTTCGTATGATGTTCTACCGTGTTCGTTCGAAAATATTTGCTGCAAGAGCTTTGCTAATTTCGCTGCCATGTTTCACATAATTTAGTAACCAATATTTCAGACATCATCTGCTGTTCATGCCACCGAACGAGCCGCAAAGGGTGAAATCAGTCACCCCTATCGCTTTGGGGCTTCGCTCATGGCGCTGGATGCAACGACGCGTCGGCCAAAACCGACCATCCGTTTTCGGGCCGAAAGATGACAAATTTGCCTGACAACCACCAATTGGTCCAAGTCACATGGACAAGATGTCCGAAATACTTGACTCATGAAACGAACGTCTCACGGCGGCAACAAATCGTTTCTTGTCCTTGAACGTATATGACACGCGTGCATACAGAAACATACTACTGAAAACAGTTTGTTGTACTCGTACTCTGTCTTGCAATTGAGATCAACAAAGTATGTGGGAAGCATTACTTGACCAGCCGCAATTTTTTTCTTATGGCTTCCAATCAGTGCGACTATGTGCGGCGGATTATGAACAGTCACAGCAAGACGTTACGGACTTTTATAGTGTCTGGCGCGCATCAAAATAGTGAACGGCCATGGCTGGGGGCATATGACAAACTATGACAAAGGTGGGACCGCGGACAAGACAACCGCATTTCAGTTACAAATTTGCCTCTGCACACAACGTAGCTTGGTATCGGTGACAAAGCAAGGTCGCCCAAAGGTTTTAATAATTTCAAGTTGATTTTTCAACAATTATTCGAAGACATGCCTGTCATATGGACCTGGCAGAAGCCACAGAGATATGACCGACAGGCCGTGGAAGCACAAGACGTGAGCGGCAACCGTTCAGTAAAAGCCCCGCGAAGAAGCAGCGTCCACAGTAGTGGAGGCCTAGCCGCGCTGTTCGGAGCATTGAACGCCATCTTCTGTCACTTTAAAATAGCTTGCCATGTCGCCTTCACTCTCATCAGCTATCAAAAGACGGGACGTGTACACTTGGTAACACCCCGTTACTTCTTGATATTAACAACTCCAATATACATATCTCAACAACTGAACGATACAAAAAATGAGCATAACATTATATGTGGCAACGCAATCAAAGACAGAACAACGAAATATCGGAAAACATCAACATCCTTTAAAGCGCGGTGCATCCTTGGAATACCCCATCCCAAGCGATCCGATAGTGTGTTCCATATTCGCTGTATATACATTGCGACGTTTGGCAGCGAATCCTGTGTCGTTTGAGAGGCGATAAATGAACGAGGAACGCGCTGTGACGGGAAAAATGAAGAAAAACGGTCCTGTTGCAGGCCACAGTTCAAGACCGGAGGGCAGGAAAAGTGTGAATGGTAGTGCGAAATAAAAACGGCGTTTCGGGCGCGTAATGGCGGAGAAATGGAGAAAGATCACGTAGGACGGGCACGGAGGACGAGAATCAGGTTTGAGAACGAACGTACGAAGCCTGCTATTGCGCGACTAAACCGACGCTCAACAACACGTACGTAGCTCACTTCGAAATATCATCGGCACTGACATCCCCAACGAGACTTGCGCAGCATTCCGGGACATGTACGGCCTGTGCCTACCCTCACCTCTTGCGCCTTGGCCAGGGAGGTGAGGTGGACACTGCAGAGATCGCACGAGTACGACACTTTCTGCCGGATCTTCCCAGAGCAGGACTTGGTGATGCAGCCAGGAAGATCACATTCCTTCAGAGGTGGCGGTGCTTCCATGGTGGCTGTGAGCACCAGAAGTGTGAGAGGAACAAATCACTGACAGCCATGCTTGGTGCATGCGTTGTGAATCTATTTTCCACTTTCTGTGTTGACCAATACAGCACAGAATACCGAACCACTAAGTCCAAACGGGCAACAAAACTAGGGAAAATAGCACAAGTTCCGAATGGCTTTGCAGGGGTTACTATTTAAAAGGGAAAATAACACTGGAGATCAGATGACAATGGCTGAATGGTAAAACAGCCGTCGAGAGTCTGAGCATTATGGTGAGCCATGAAGAGTAAAAATGTCACAGCAAAAACATGTGCCATAAATTGGCTGTAACACAAAAAAAGACAAGCAAAGTTCCCATAGTAAGGGCTTTCATCTAACAATCTCCCATTGGGTGTTTGATAACATAGGTGTTCCTTCATTTCATGCTTTTCGCACGGGTTGCTGGGAATATGCCACTCTTGCACGGCCGAAGCATAAGACAGGAGGTTAAAGCGAACACGAGCATAATCATTAGGCTGCTGAATATCACATAAGTCATTGATGGGCCACGAGGTGCCAACTTTCGACGCTTAAAATGGGTCAAAGCTAAAGATCGTGCCATTTTTGAAAAAAAGATGCTTGATTGTTACCAGCATAGTGAAATTACAAGTTATAACCCCATAAATATTACCAGCATACCCTCTCAGCCATATAGAGTTGTTGGATGCACACATACCTTAATTTTGAAGCACTCACGCGGGGTCAGGTAGCGTCAACTATTTGGCGAGTTTCTTATGAGTAAGAGGTATACATCTCGTTTTTTGTATCCCGAATTAAAAAAGACGATGGCTTCCAAGTTGCCGTCTAAAGGCATCATAGGCTGTAAAGGTAATATAGGTCCCCAATTTCAAATAGTGCTAGAATAAGGCAAATTGAGTGTTTCTTGCTCCAGCGCTGCTGCGTTACACGCTACAGTAATGAAGTCATCGATCACTCAATCGCGGTTTTCTCATAACCGTCTGGTCGTTCTCAAGCTTTTAAAAGTATTCCAGAGGACAACTTAACTTATGGTTCCAAACGGTTTTAAATATTTCAAGTAAAATATACTAAGCCATCTTTCAGATCTCACCAAGTTAAATAAATCAGCTTGAACAGGTGTGTGATGCATTTAAACATTGCGCATTGCATAGCATGTACATCTAAAAGCGCGTTCCTCGACCTCTCCCTTCAACGAATGTTTAAGCACACGATAGCCCAAATATTCAAAAGCACTGGCAACCATGACTTACGCTGTCTGAAGCAATTTAAGGAAAGCCAGCAGTCAAATTACGGCAGTTCTTTCACGTAGATCTCTCCTTTTTGTGTGCCGTTGGGGCTTTACGACGCACTCAGCTGCTGAGGCTATGTGGCGTCGCCTACCTCTCACCCTGGCAGGAAGGGCGGGCACCGCGGGGAATCGAACCCTGTACCTCTAGTTTCCCAGACGTGCAGTGGTTAACACAGACGCGTTAACCACTACACTACCGGCGCCCCATCTTTCCTTTTTGACAAAACTACGAAGAAACCGCGGTAACATGATAAACAACCAAATAAGGTGGTCGCACACGACAGGAATGGTCACCCACTACAAAACAAGCTGTTCTTATCATCTGTGTAGCGGCACCAATCGTAACGTTACCAGCCTGCTACTCTCGCCTTCGGCCTATCTGGCCTTTACGATCTCTGTCACGCCGTGCTAACGGTGGGTCAGGGGCAAATGACGGCTAAGCACGACATCGTTACGCTAGAATTCGATTAGCGCCTGCCAAATACACTTCTTCAAGGCGATAGCTGCCACGACCACAGCTCAGCCAGACGGTGGGCCGCTGCCAAAGCTCACCGTGGCCGCGTGCCAGCCGTGCGGCAAGCGCCTCTCTGTCGACTTCGTGCTGCTCCATCGCCTGCGGCGCGTCGTCGGTCTCGGCCAGCGCCGCCAGGATGCGCAGCTCCCGCCGCCGTCGCGCGTGCCGCTTACCTGCGCGGCACTGTTGTCAGCCGTACGGCATACAATGCAAAGCCGCACTGTTTCGGTTTGTCGTTTTGTTGTTTTTTACTGTTGAGGCCAGTCCTAATGTCAAGACGCACGCGCACGGGCACGCACACACACACACACACACACACACACACACACACACACACACACACACACACACACACACACACACACACACACACGCACACGCACACGCACACGCACACGCACACGCACACGCACACGCACACGCACACGCACACGCACACGCACACGCACACGCACACGCACACGCACACGCACACGCACACGCATGGCTGGCCGACCAGTCGGTGGTAGCGTGAAGCGTCAGTGGCGGATACGTCGGACGTGCTGACCCACGTCGGGGCGGCCACGTGCACCTGGCTTCTTGAAGGGAACGCGATGATCGTCGTCGCGTACCCTTGTATTGCGCACCAACGGCCGCACAGGCCATACTAGCGCTCGAGGCCATGGCGCAGCCGGGGTTCGAGCCCGAGCCCTCCACATGGGGGCTGAAGGCGCTTACCACCCGGCTATTACGCCCAGATCGCTCTGTGCGTGTGTGGACAAGACACATACATCAACCACATCTTAAAAGGTGTCTTTTCACTGACCGATTATCACAAGTGGCAACAAGTACACATTCACGCCGGGATTCATGCGCGCGCCAGACGTGGCAGAGGCGGGCGTCTCAGGCACAGCTGCCGCATGCCCGTGGTTGTCTGACTCAGGCCACACAGGTCTTAGGCACGCGCGCCGCCGCCGCGCACGGGACGTCTCGCAGCGCGTCACCCGCACCCGCGCCACACCAGCCAACATCCCGCATTAACCCCGGCCGATCCTCCGCCACGGCGCTGGACGTCCCGACGCCATAAACCTGGACATTACTCTATGGCTTAGAACTAATATTAGCCTGGTTCATACCAAAGCAACATATCTTGAATTATTGTCTAAATTTTGAGGCACCTGGCTGGGATTCTAGACGCATTCACGTTTAACACGATTTCTCACCAATACTGGTCACTCAACTACATAGAAATGGCAACCTTTAACAAGGCACACCAAAATTCATCTGAAACAAATTTGATTCATATCTGACACCCATTGTTTTTTATTATTATTTCCTGCACCACATGGTTTTGTCCAAGAAGTTGGAATCATAAGACCATTGACACAAGAAATTTCATGACATTAAGACAGCAAGACCGGGTTTGATGTTTGACTTCTTTGCGTCAAAGCTAACTGTTTACAGATTATGACAGTGGAGGATGAATTTGCATGTCATTGCAGCACCCAAGTCACACTGACCTGAATCATACAAATGGTGCACTACAATAAGGACATGTTTTTTTACTGATGTAAATGGGGTGATTCATGCTATTTCAGACATTAGACATGTTTTTCCTATGTTGCTGCCAACACATCCAGTTTCTATACCATGTCTTAACATCCCCAAAAGTTTCAGTCTGATGAATTGAACACAAGTCTCTTGGCAACCATGCACTCCGAATCTGTGGCTGGTACTGTTCAGGCATAAAAACAGATGCCACTGGGGCCTCACACACTTTAAATGAGGCAGACCTGCCCCAGATCACCAACAACTAAATATGTGCCTCACAATCAAAACATAGCATTAGAGTACCTGACACAGTCCCAGCCAAATGCTTCTTTGTTAAAGACTGGCTACAAGCTTGCCTTTTGGTCTCTCTCCAACATATGGCAGATAGTAGTCTAATGGCTCTAGTGCTCACAAATGACCCCAGAGAGGCATGAATTGACTGCAGTATAATGCATGCCAACATATTCATAGTCCAAGTTGGATATCAAAACCTTCACTAACTTTTCAGGTGATTTGCCAGTTGAGAAGCACTGTTGGTCTGAATCTGGCAGGTCTCACACCTGACTGGTGTGAAGGTCTTCGAATCTGGCTCCTGAAGTGGTTGATCATGCTGGCCTTCTTCATCTACCCCTTCCACAGACACATGGGATACCTGTAACCAAATTATGAGGTCTGTTAGGATGTCCTAGTGACACAGAACATATGTTATTCGATGATGCATGTATAGACTTCTGGTAGTAGATGTAGGTGATATAACATATGATGAACTATCCATCATCCAAGAACAGGTGACCAAGTGTACTTCTCAAATCCTGTGAGGCAAGGATTTGATTTGAGGACAAGACAAACATTTGAGACAACTACATGTCAACTTTCACATCATTCCAGTATGAAATCCTGACACAATGTGTAGTTAACCCAGCAATGAAATGAGATCTGCAATAAAAGTATCAAAGTCTGCATGAGGAAGCTGATAATTATAAGCACACCATGCTGTTGGAAAAAAGTTCTATGTCAAGATGCTGCAACATATGAAAGCACTCAGCACTGTAAGCAGTAATGGAGCTCATGATTTCTTCTTTACTTTATCCTGCTACTTTCTCAAGGTTCTCACATACTGGTGGCACAAAAAGGCTTTTTGTGGTTGAGCACTGTTTTGTAATTGATGCATGTTTTACAATCTGACACACTGAAATGTTGTAGTAAGGTCCCTGATTGTTGAGCCACACTCATGAACATGATGCGTGATCTACACAAATAATGTGACACAGCCCAGTACACAATCCATATTCAGGAGATAAAAAGTGAGCAAACACCTGTGTTGGTGACATGTGATTGCAATGTGAAACAACATATAGGGGTCACAAATTATCACTTCACATAGATATCTGAACATTGAACTTACAGTCTTCTTTTTTCCTCTTCTTTTGCTTTTCTTATGCATTGTAGTGGTGACCTCACAAAATGATTGCAGCTCTTCACTTTTGATCTTCATGATGAGTTACTGCAAAATGCAAAATAATGCATTATGTAGCTACAAACCATGCAGAACAAACATGAGTGGCTGGCCTATGAAACACTAAAACAAATGGAGCACTCAAGAATAACAGGAAACACTTAAACACACTTCTCCATCACTCTTTTGAAACAACATAAATCTTATCACTGATGCACATTTAAACTAGTTTCCATTTTGCTACATTTATTTCCAGAGGCTGCTGCTGGGTGCCTGACTTCTAATCCAGTACTCAGTTTGTTGCATTGTGCAGCCACCAGTTTCACCATATAGAGCCAATATTTCAAGGAATTTTGATGCTGAGGGAATTTTAAAAAAATACCCCCACCATTTGTCATGCTGACAATTTGGAAATTCAGTGTAACATGGCCTAGCCTGGGTTTGCCGCATGCAAGTGAAACATTTATTGCACTGGTGCAGGGGTATCTGGTGCAGAAGATGTAGTTCTTGCACGCTGTTTTAGTGCCACTACAAACATTGTGGCGAACAAAACAGATACATTAGTTGATAACGCCGGCGTAGGCACAACGCAAGGCAAAACGTGTCGTACCAGCTTAATCTATCTAGAAAGCCCTGCGAAAATGATATCAGTACATGCGCCAGACATTCATCATTTTCCCTAACATATTCATGTACTTCTATGTCCTACATCATGCCAATAAATGTCGCTTCTCCCTCACACCTGTCAATCACTTCCTCCTAAACCACGCGTGGGAACTGGCGATGCAGCTGTCAGCTGATTGTAGTAGTCAGCACAGCCGCGACAATATTTAGTACGAACTTGTCGTAAAGGGAAACATTGTTAAATACCGATTCGCACTAAAAGCTCTGCCCGCCTGCGTGCCAGCACCAAAGGACAGTCCCAGCTACCGCCGTGCATAATCCGGCACACCGGGCGGTCCCCATTGGTCTTTGGTCACACCATGACCTATGTCTCTTCATGCCGTCACGTCCGTGGTCGAGTGAGAGACAACGAAACAAGTCGACCGTCTCTCAGTCCAAAAAAGGGCGAAACCGCGCCTTCGAATCGCGCTGGCCATCAACCATTCATCTGTGCAAGAGCAGGAATGCGGTCTTCTGGCTCCTTCTCAACCATGAACGTAACGCCCAGGCGTAGTGCTCGGGTGTTTTCTGAGCTTGTCACTCTTCGCGGCCATTATCGATGTTGCAGCGACTCGTCCCCGTTACAGGAGCAGCGAATGCGAATCGACAAAGAAATATGTCGGCCTGTAAAGAATGTCTTGTCTTGCAATGTCTTACAAATGTCTTGCAAGCTAGATCAAGAGGAGAATTAAGTGCGGAAGGAATCTAATTGCAGGCAAATTCCGACCACGTGAGATGGACGAGGTTTAGCTGAGAGTCTACCTTTGCTAATCACTGGGAAAAACTAAGCAAACGAGAAACAGGCGAGCCGACGAGCTGAATAGCAGGCAAACCTTCCAGGCAAAGAAAATCGCCTTGGATGAGCGGTCGCGGCTCGTGTGCCGCACCGGCCTCGAGGTATGACTGGTGAGGGTCATAACGAAACGACCTGTATCCTTGGCCGTTTCTAACGGCCCAACTAAGATAGTCCTGGCATAGGCCAATGAGCGGGCCGTCGCGCCGGAGCGCGCGTCACCGGCCTTGTTCACCATGCCCGCCCTCGCCGGGCGCGAGTGCCCTGTCGCCGCCTAATCAGATCTCCTGCAGAAACCTCCTCAAATCTCCTTCAGAAATATCCAGCATCGCCTCCATTCTAAACCATTAACACAGGTACGTTAACCGCTGCGCTATGGGCGCCCGAAGCACAGACTCAAACCTTTTGATGCCATTTGTTTCACTGGTCGATTCTGCAAAATATTGGACTTCCGCAGAGAAACATGAGATGGCCTTGTGCGTTTCGAACTTATTTCGGCACACTCATTTAAACACTAATGAGTCCCCTTATTCCCAGGAAGGGAGTTCCCTGGAGTAAACATTACTGGGCACATTATTGCTCCCGGTCAACGGCTGAAGCGCCATTTTATTCCACCGCAGTGCGCCTCCGGCCGTCATTCTGGCGACACAGAGCAACATCCCCTGACCGATCCGGAGGCCGCTAGAGGGATAAGTCATATCACGTTGGTCCGCTTCCCAGCGCGGGAGCCCTCCTGACCCGCGCAGTTGACCCCTGATCGACGCATGAACCGTCATTAACACAACAACATCCTTGCTCGCCGCAAGTGGTCAAATTATTGGCACACAGACTCCAGTTGGGCTTAACGGGCCCATGCTGGAATAGAGTTGATGAGCCCAACGTTCGGCGCTGGGGGCCCTGACTGGCACAGGAATCTTCCATTGCCTCAGTGTGAGTAAACATCACAAGTTCTCATGCTTCATATTGTCAAAGGCCCCGACCACCGCAAGAAACCTGTCATTCGGGTCCCCATCCCCCCCCCTCCCCCTGTTAAGCAAATCTTCCCCTGACTAATTCGAGACCCCTTGTTGACACAGCATGCTCTATTAGGTACCGCGAGCCCCTGAACGACACAGGAACCCGACTAATGCAAACTGCGGGCCCTGCCCTGTCCCCGCCTGGGAAATGGACCTCTAGAGCTTAGATCAACACGGAGCTGGCTGTTCGTTGTTCGTGATCCCTGGCCGAAATAGAGGAACGCTTTTTCCCAGGGGTCCCTATCGGTGCAATATATAATCTTACTGGCATTTGAGATCACGGCCCTATGGAGGGAATCCTTAATGTAATTCACAGCCAGTCCTTCGGGCCTTGTGTTCTCCAACCAGGCATTTGACCGTCGGTTCCGGTGTACCACCTGGGCCCCTCTCCGGGCCTCATCAAAGACTTCGCTTGGTCGGCTTCGGGCCCGTGCGTCTACAGGGCCCTCTGTTTGGCGCTGTGGACCCCTGACAGGTACAAGGCCCCCGACCGGTGTGAAATCACTGGCCCCGGCTTTATAGTTGATTGGTAAGTGGGCTCCCAAGCCTGTGACGACACGGAGCCGACTGCGCGGTGCTGGTGGTACCTGACCGACGTATATATCTATATCGACGCAGGGGTTCCGCGATCGGTGCAAAGGATCCTCTGACCGCTATTTGATGGCCCGTCTTCGCACGCCGGGGCCCCTGAACAAGACTCTGACCAGCCTTTTATGCCCTTAGACCCGCTAATCGTGCCACTGATCGTCGAACCTAGTGGGCCCTATAGGTTTTTTCGGGCCTCCTCGAACACTGCCTCTGGCCGACTCGGGGCCCGATGACAACACAGAGCCCCTGTTAGGCGCTGAGGGTGTCCGAACAATGTATAACCGCTGGCTCCTGCTTTGTCCCTGCTTGGGAAATGGGCCCTTAGATCCAATGAGCCATGGAGCCGACTGTGCGTTACTGGTGACGTCTTACGGAAACATAGGCCCTTATCGACTCAGTGGGTCTCTGATGAGCACGCAGGACACCCCGGCTGGCATTGGAGTGTCCGGAACTGGGGGCCGGGGCCCCCGAAAGGGACCTCCAGTTGCCCTATCGGGCCCTTGATCGTAGGCTCCGAGAGGCCCTTCGGATCATGGTGGGGTGGGGGGGGGGGGGGGTTACCCCCTGTGCCTCCTACCTGCGCTACTGCCAGCCAGCATGTCCAGAGTCCATCAGGGCTGCTCACCTCGGTCCCATGTGGGCACGCCATGGGCCACCACCTTGGCCTCACATGGACGGCTTACCTGGGGCCATTATGAGGCCAAACAGAGACCCACACGGGACCACCTGGGCTGACCAGTTAGGACCCACGAGTCTAAACTGAGTGAAATTTAAAAAGGGACCGGCCACGAGCGGTGGAGGTGAACCAGATTCCGAAATCTGTGCACCAGCCATCAGCCGACCCCAAAATTTGAATCAAACTCTGATGCCAACCACTACGGCCCAAAAGCAATTTGCCATCCTGCACATTACCCGTAAAGCAATATCTTCCCAAGGGCTCTGTAGGCCAGGATACATCAATATCATGCTTATCAGGCAAAATCACTTATCCGTAAATGAAGTGCAAAAGTTTCTCCAGGCACGCCTGCTAACTACTTCCCCACACTTGGCGCACTGACCACCAGCCATCCGACTTTGCCCACCCTGGGTGTAACTAGCAATCAAATGGGGTTTGGGATCCCAAAATGGTGAAAATGCATTGTCCCATCGAACAAAAAGAGATTCATGAGGCTCACAACTGCCCATTCGCATTTCCGCTGCTCGAGTCTTGGGTAACCCACTTGCGATGCTCATACCTGTGTACCAAACTTCGCGGCCCGAAGTGCGAATCAATAGTAAATACCACTTTCATCTTAGTACGTATTGGTACTAAATATTCCTGCGGACGTCTGGGAAGTAAATACCAACATAGCAGCCAGAATAGTCACAGTTGCGCTATGTTTGTACGGCACAGGCCATTGCGTGCTTGATTATCGTGTATATCTGTTTCCAATTCGCTAAGGGGTCAGGCCAAGGCTAGGTCAGCCTGTAGTCTCAGCTCATATATCAACGTACTCAAGCTAGTTCAACATGGACGTGATTGTAGCTGTTAGGAAATATATCTTAAAAATGGTTGAAGACAGCGGCCCCGGCATGAAAGTGTTAATGATAGATAAGGAAACCGTAAGTCATTGCGCTGGATTTGAGGTGGTTCTTGTGATATTGCATGCCAATGCAGTAATGGACTGTATTCGTGTGTTCAGAAATGCTTGGGGCTCACAGAGACTCCACATGCTATATATTCTTCAACACTTGTAGGATAAATTTGTGGTGGCAATAAACAGCATTTGTGCATGACTGAGTGGCTGGTATCATGACTATCAGTACCCACAAACTGCAAAAATACTAAGCCAAAAATCTGTCAAAGCAGTAATTCACCACATAAAGCTCAGAGCTCATTTGGTGTAAATCAGAGTGCCCAGAGTTTGGCTCACAGTTGCCCTAAATTTTAGTGCATAGACAGCCTATGTTCAGGGTATTGCAATGTTTGAGGAAAATACTTCCGGAATATTTGTGACAGAATAGATTGATAATTTAGTGCACATATAAGCTTGGTACATGTAAAAATTAGGTTTAGAGCATTCATATGTAGGTGGCAGGGCAGCACATAGTTTTTTTGTTGAGTGCTGTGTGCTATCATACCCCCTTTGCCATTAAAATACCAGAATGTGGATGGTTATGGTAATGGCTGCTAGTATGCATTGTGTATAAAGCATGAAGTGATTGCAAAAAGTCACTAAACTAAAGAAAGCTGTATAAAGGTCAAATGTGTCCATTGGAACACTCATATGGTGATGCACACACGTAAAATAGATGTAGATCACTCTAACGTTATTTGCATAGCACTCGGGTTTTACATGCCAGCTGTTCATTAGTAGCATTCTTAATATGCTTTGGGCTTATTCAAGATATTTCATGCCAATATTCCTGTCTTTCATTTGCTATTCATATGCCATATTTCTGTGTTATTCAGTAATCAGGTTAGGTTGTCCCAGGGTCTTATAGTTGATGTTGCAAGTTGCACCCAAAGTCTTGCAGCATGGAAACTGCACATGGAAAATCTATTCAGTCACCCATTTTTCTTGAAAGTTAAGGGGACAGGATGAGTGGTTTTATGAAGGTGTAAACATTTTCCAGACAAGTTGTCCTGTGATAGGACTTCCAAATGTTAGAGTACATTAAGTGTTGGATATCATTCACTGGGACATTCAGATCTAAAAAGTTCATACTTGCAAAATAAATGAGATAATATATCAATTATTGCTGATGCCAGCTAGCATGTATGTTGACAAATTTAGGTATGTTTGTTATGAGTTTGCCTGAATGGAATGGATGCCTATCATGATACAATTAATGTGAATATTGTTTGAAAAGCATTGATCCCTGGCAGGGCCACATTCTGTTGTTGCTGGTGGGTGCACCAGATGCAGTGCTGAGTGCAGTCAACCAGTCCACTGCTGGCCACTGCAGCTGCTCCCCTCCCATTAATGTTGGGGATGTGTTCTGTGTGTTATCAGGGGCACTGTGGTGATAGGCAGGGCCAAGCTGCTACTTACATTTCCACCAACTACTGCTGATATTAAAATGTATGTGTCGGTGTGTGTGTTTGTGTGTGTGTGGGGGGGGGGGGGTTGTGTGTGTGTGGGGGGGGGGGTTTGTGTGTGGGTGTGGGTGTGGTTTGTACTGTAACAGCTTACAGTTATTCTATGAGCCACATATTTGTTCAGCTACATCACTTCATTGTTAGGATAAGTTCTGTCAAAGCAGCCCCAAACAGGCCCACTGGCAGCCCTTTTGGGACAGGATGGATGCTATCCCTGGAATCTGAATGACATACCAGCCAGGGTTTACATACAAAGGCACAACACAATTCCCAGGGAGCAATGCACACCAAGTCATCATGTAGTTGTCATTAAGATATAACTGTCACCATCCTGTATTCACACATGCATTATACACACAGTACTATTCATCATCATATACCCCAACCTACATTTTCTGATAGACACCCTGCTCCTGCAGATCGGGATTGTCAGCATCGTGTTCGCCCAGTCAGAGATGCTACAGCGAGAGGTGTACCTGTTTGAGAGGCTGGACGGCGACCTCCCGACGGACATCATGCGTCATCTGAAGTGTATCGTGTTTGCGCGCCCCACCAAGGACAACGTGGCCAAGCTGGCCAGGGAGCTGCGGCGTCCCCGTTACGGATATTACTACGTCTGTAAGTGGACAGTGCTCCTGCTCAACCACGGGATCGCTTGTGCCGCGCGCGTGACACCTCTGAAGAGGAGAACTTGCATGGTCCTGGTAGCCTGCCTCCCTGCCTGGTTATCCATTATATCCATCATCCATTCTAGCATATATCATCTCAATAAGTCATATTTTATCAGCCATATCCTCTGATGCTGACCAAAGTCTTCGCCACGTGACTGTAGCGGCGCTGTGGCCAAAATGACTTCTAGGCCGACTGGTCATCACGGCTCGTGCGGCCTAGCTGGCTGCCGGCAAAGGCGTGATAATCACGCGCCGTGCGCCGCAGACTTCAGCAACGTGATCGCTAAGGCGGACGTGAAGCAGCTGGCCGAGGCGGACGAGCACGAGCTGGTGCGTGACGTGCAGGAGCTGTACGCCGACTACCTGGCCGTCGCGCCTCACCTCTTCCACCTGAGCATGCCGTGCTGCAGCCAGGGTACGCCGGGCGGCGCGGCCTTGCGGGCCGGCAAGCCCTGAAGGGTTCGGCCGGTGCTCGGTGTGGACGGAACAGGGAGGTCTGTGGATATTTGGGGTGTATGGGAGCATGTGGACACTTAAGATTGGGTTAGTTCATGCTGTTAGTGTGGTCATCCAAAGGGCCAAGTGCTAAACGTCCGTCATGTTTGCCTACGTTGCTGTCGTGCCTTACCTGCGGCGACGAGCCGGCCTCGTCCTCTTCGCTGGCTGGCGGGAGCCCTGTCCACGCCCTGCGGCCCCGCCACCGGCCTGCCAACGGCGCCGCTGCCAGCCCTGTATGCCATCAGACTGAGCCGCCGTCAGACCCAGTCGTGCCGTCGGCTGCCCCAGGTTTGGCGTGGACCCAGCCGGGCCTGGTGCGCGCCACGCAGGGTGTGGCCGCCGTCCTGCTCTCGCTGAAGAAATGCCCTGTTATCCGCTACCAGAGCTCGTCAGAGATGGCCCGCAAGCTGGCCGACAGCGTGCGGGTGAGGGCAAGCGGCGGGGTGCGGTGCGACGGCTCTGTGACCACGTGCGCAGCGCGCGGGGTGTGGCTTGCAGCCGTATTCGGAGGCGAGGTCTGCAGACCTCCGGCTCAAGGACGCTTGCCCTGCCCAGTTGGCCGAGTGGAGAGACTGGACCCAGCCACCGAGCGGATTTTTCGCTGCTGGTTGCAAAAATCCCCGCGATAGATTCCGGCATAAAATGGCCGAATAAGTCGCATACGTCGCGGAACAACGCACGATCGTTGCGTTATGTGCTTGCATGCTGCTAGTTTTTCAAGTTGGGTGTGGGAACTCGAGAAGTGTGTCAGTTCATTCGACGGGACGCTTTCCCCCAGGGGCGCGTGGAGACCCTGGAAATCAGCAGAGATCCGTTATACTCCCAGGGGTTCGTGAAAACACACAGTATTGATCTCCACGTATACAAGCGCTTGTTTGTCGTCATCGATGGGCGGCCGGCGCCGGCGCCCTGCCCGTGCCCGTCCGAACGTTGACCCGAACTGTGCGGCAGCTGACATTCACCAAGGAGGCGACGCTGTTCGACTTCCGTCGCGTGGACCCGCCGCCGCTGCTGCTCATCCTTGACCGGCGAGACGACAGCGTCACGCCGCTCCTCAACCAGGTGTGCGCTCGGCGGAGTGGATGAGGGTGACGCATAGCGCTGTTGTTGGGAGCTCAGGCCTCTCCGTGGTTGGCCGTCGGCCGGCTCACAGACCAGCCACGTCGCCATGGAAGTGGTCTAATACGGGTGGTAGTCATGCTTGGCGATCCGCGGTTAACGATTGGCCTGAGCTGAGCTTCACTAGCTGGCTTGTACGGCTGGTGGCGGATTGTGAGTGATCTGGAGTCCGACCTCGTGCCGTCAGCTTCTCAACGCTCTCTGTTGGCATGGCATCTGGTGTGACCGCCCTCCAGTGGCCGTTCTCGATATCCCGCCCTCCAGTGGACGTTCTCTAGCGTCCGCCCTCCAGCAGCCGCCCTCCGGCAGCCGTTCTCTAGTGTGTGGCGTCTCTGCGACAGTGGACGTACCAGGCGATGATGCACGAGCTGCTCACCATCTCCAACAACCGCGTCAACCTATCAGAAGTGCCGAATGTGCCGCCGGAGCTGAAGGAAGTGGTGATGTCGGCCGAGCAGGACACCTTCTACGCCGAGGTAACGCGATGGCCTTGCGCCGGCACGGCGCGGGCCCGAGTTGTTAATCTGCGTTGTGGATTACCAAATGCGAAGTGGCCCAGGTTGAGCCCGAGCCAGGAAACACCACAGTATTCACCACTTCAAAACATCAGAGTATTCACCACTTCAAGTACACTGGAAGTGTCAGTGAGAACGGCCAAAAGGTGTTCACTCCAAACGTGTTCGATGTTTGTGCATACCTTGAAATACCAGGCTTCATGAAGGTGATCAACTAGATTTTGGACCGCTGTTAAGGCGCATTGACAACCCTTGGAAGTGTCGGCCGCGTGACGAGGTTTTAAATCGGCAACCGACGGGAACTAAAGCCCCCTCTTACTTTTGGGAACACTGTTTCGAACTATTTCAAATGGATGCACAGACTTGTTATGTCAGTGGTGCATTTGTTACATTCTGAAACTTTTTCAACTTGAATTCATGTCACAGAGTTGCGACGTCACGGAAGCCGTGCACCGCAGTTCTGCATCGCAAACAGTAATTTGCGCTGGCTACTTCACCATTTCAAATCGTCTTTATGTAATGATTGGTTGGTTTTGATGTTTGTCGGCCAGGGCTGGTCGTAAGATCGCAGGCATATCAACATAACAATCTCCAAACTAGATTGACCAGGGCCATTGATTACCGCTGGATTTGCTTTCCGGTCGGGCGATTATAACTAGGGGTACAGGAGGATTAGTGATATTCCCCAGGAGGCGATTGTCGGCGAAGTACTCAGGTGGTGCCTAGATAGGCAGTGTGGCTGTTTTACGCGGCGGTACGGCACGCACAGCTGTTTGTGTGTGTACGTGTGCGCCAAGGAGTCTGCATCAAGACACGTCCGGCATGGCAATTTCTCCGTACTTTTTCATTTGGTAGTGGCTAACTCCAAAATATTCTAACAGCCATGATCGAAAATAATTGACTTCAAATTATAATAAATACTGTCATTTTTTATCGTTGTCGCCCGATAAGGCGTCAAAATGAACTAAGTCATGTCATAAATGGTTTCATTGCCTGTTGTTCTGCATATATACAAATTGATATCCTTTTGTAGGCAGCTGAATTTTTTAAACGACGTCACAGGTGTATTTGTGGTAAGCTGAGCCGCTTTTCACCTCAAGATATTTGTTTCGTTTAAACCTCCATAAGTTGTGCTCTGCAATCCTGTCTTTTTGGTAGCGTTGCCAGGGTGATGTTTCACGTTGTACGCGTGTGTGCACATTTTCTGTTATGATTGATTTAAATGGCGGACATGTGTTGGCATACGATTGATTTAAATGGCGGACATGTGTTGGCATACTTTGATTATTTTGACCATTAATGCATCCGTTTGGAGCAAAGTGCTGGGACGTAGGTACACGAGATGGCGGAATGTAAGGAGCGTGTAAAGGGAACTCGGAACACATTTGACTGGGAAGAGGGTCCTCGCGCCACGCGGCTTATTGGGGAAAACCCAGACCCAACCACTACAGCAGAGGAACTCGAGTTCGACGAGCACTTTTTGCCGAAGCATTTAGACGGGCCACGCAATCCTGCGGCACGGCCGCTGGTGATTTAGCCTGCGTCTCCCGGCCAGCGTCCGGTTAACCGGCAAAAACAAGCGAGCTAAGCGCGATTTGTGGGACACGGACCCACATGCCCACCACACAATGATCACAGTCTCGGACAGACTCCCAAGTGAGGGATAGAGACGCCTTTCAAATGGCCGCTAGATATTCCCTGAGGGTTAATATTTTGGCTCAAGGACGCGGTGATGGACGCCTTGCATGCCTTTCATTCATCTCATTCGGCGTGAAATCGTGCTGCGGCGTTGACTGAAGGCGTCGGCCTCCGCAGAACCTGTACTCCAACTTTGGCGAGATCGGCCAGACTATCAAGGGCCTGATGGACGACTACCAGAAGCGGCTGCAGAGCCAGAAGAAGGTGGAGAGCATCAATGACATGAAGCAGTTCGTCGAGATGTACCCCCAGTTCAAGGTAGGGCTGCTTGACGTTCGGTGCAACCTCTTGCTGACACCAAGCTGGCCGCTGCTCTTAATAGGTGGCTGACCACGTCATGCAAAATCTGTAACAACAGTTTCTTTCTTCCCATAAGGGAGTAATGTGCCATGTCGCTGGCACCAATGCCATAGAGCACGAGTGCATTTTTACGTAGGGAGGGGATGTTTGTGACCAGACAGAGTGCTGGCAGGCAAGTGCAGAGTGGCAGATGAAATGGGTCAGATCAGCAGCATCATAGTGGTCGTATTTTTTTCTGGCCATCAGGTGAGAGCGTCATCATTTTGTCAAAGCGTTGCGTGAGACAGTGCATGCCTGTTGAAGGAACGGTGATCCAGGTGATCCGTATGTTTCGGCTGTTCTGGTGTGCCTTGTTAAGGCTAGCATGTTGACATGAATGCCTCCTGTGACCTGCCATGTTGTCATGACGCCAGCGGTTGTGTGCCCCCGCTTGTCTGGAGCGTCTTCGCCGGCTACGCTATCCGCGTGCCGACTGTCGTTTCTCGTCTGCCGTCAGAAAATGTCGGGCACTGTGGCCAAGCACGTGACGGTGGTGGGCGAGCTCTCCCGGCTGGTGGGCCACCACCTGCTGCTAGAGCTGTCCGAGACGGAGCAGGAACTGGCTTGTCACGACGAGCACCAGCAGTCCCTGCAGGTGAGGGCGACGGGGGCGGCGGCGCGCTTCCCAGACGGAGCGGGCCCCAGTCGCGTCGCTGCTCACAACAATTTGGCGAGATTGCTTCAGTTTGCGATATCTGAAGTGTTAGCACTTGCCGGGTGCCAGCCATGAGTTGTTATGTCTGCCGTGTCTGCCAGCCGCTCCGTACCAACGAGGAAGGTTCGCAACGTCGCGCGACCCATCTGTCGCCCGCACGCCCTGATCACGGGGCGTAATGACATGCACGTGCGGCACCCGGAGCGCTGACGAGACGCTGCGAGTCTCGGAGAGCGACGCTGGTGCCGGCGCCCGGCGCGCTGTGAGGCGGCACAGTCTCCGTGTGCTCGTCTCCGATGGCGCCCTGACCGCGGCCGGCACCGGCAGCGGTGTGAGGCGGCACAGTCTCCGTGTGCTCGTCAACAATGGCGGCTCTGACCGCGGCCGGCGCCGGCAGCGGTGTGAGGCGGCACAGTCTCCGTGTGCTCGTCACCGATGGCGGCCCTGACCGCGGCCAGCGCCGACAGCGGTGTGGGGCGGCACAGTCTCCGTGTGCTTGTCAACAATGGCGGCCCTGACCGTGACCGGCGCCGACAGCGGTGTGAGGCGGCACAGTCTCCGTGTGCTCGTCACCGATGGCGGCCCTGACCGCGGCCGGCGCTGGCAGCGGTGTGCGGCGGCACAGTCTCCGTGTGCTTGTCACCGATGGCGGCCCTGACCGCGGCCGGCGCTGGCAGCGGTGTGAGGCGGCACAGTCTCCGTGTGCTCGTCACCGATGGCGGCCCTGACCGTGACCGGCGCCGGCAGCGGTGTGTGGCGGCACAGTCTCCGTGTGCTCGTCACCGATGGCGGCCCTGACCGCGGCCGGCGCCGGCAGCGGTGTGTGGCGGCACAGTCTCCGTGTGCTCGTCACCGATGGCGGCCCTGACCGCGGCCGGCGCTGGCAGCGGTGTGTGGCGGCACAGTCTCCGTGTGCTTGTCAACAATGGCGGCCCTGACCGTGACCGGCGCCGACAGCGGTGTGAGGCGGCACAGTCTCCGTGTGCTCGTCAACAATGGCGGCCCTGACCGTGACCGGCGCCGACAGCGGATCTACCGGCTGCTGAACGCGGAGAAGACGCGCGAGCTGGACCGTGTGCGCCTGGTGATGCTGTACGCCCTGCGGTACGAGACGCACGCCAACAACGACATCCACCGGCTGGTGGACACGCTGCGGCGGGGCGGCGTCAGCGATAAGTACTGCAATGTGCGTGACGGGACCGGAGGACGAGGCCCGACGGGGGCTCGCCTGGGATGTGCCGGTCAGGTGCCAATAGTGTAATGGTTACGGCGGCTGCGCTAACCACTACGGGCCTGGGAAACTGGAGGTGCGGGATTCTATTTCTGCGGTCCCTCATTCCTGCCAGGGTGAGGGGCAGGCAACGCCATAAAGCCTCAGCAGCTGAGGACGTCGTCAAGCCCCAGTGGTGACAGGTGTGATTAAACACGATTTTAGGGCTTAGTCGAGCTAATTTTTGTGCGAACTTGAATTCAAGTTCGGTTTCTGAACCGTTCTCAGTATATTTCTGGATTTGCAAATATAGCCCACTTTGAGTGGGTGAGTAGCTGGGAGGGGGAGAGTGAGGGAAGGAGGGAGGATTTGCCAATCCATTCCGGGGCAACAAATCGATCTGTCTAAATCCCACGAGGTTACTGAATTTCTGAAGGGTCACAAATATACTTAGTCCTAAACATAAACGTACGTTCAGCGTAAATAGTCAAATAGCGCCATCCGGTTTTAATATCTCTTCTTTGTAAAAAGCCTGAATGATAAAGATGATGCCCAGCCAACTTTTTGTTAGGCTTGACTGACTGTGATAATGAATTGCTCAAAGTCCGTTGGAACACGCTCAGACAAAAACAAAAACGATTGTGCCGAAGTCACTCCCACACGGTACGTACGCTCCCACTTCATATTCTATTTCTAACATGCTTGATGATACCTTATAATTGCCCCCTTTTCAGTGGATCGCATATGGCAGGGTGCCCCTAATATCAGGACCCGGTTATGTCGGAAGTGATATGCATTGCATCTGATCCTCACTGACCTTTCATCTACACGTGATACGACCTCTATCAGGTGGCGAGAGCAGTGCCGAGCTGCGTCAGTGACCTGACATGGCCCCTGGCAGCTGGTGAAGGCAGTACTGGAGTACGGCGGCGCGCGGCTCGCAGCAGTGACCTGACCTGACCTCCGGCAGCTGGTGAAGGCAGAACTGGAGTACGGCGGCGCGCGGCTCGCAGCAGTGACCTGACCTGACCTCCGGCAGCTGGTGAAGGCAGTACTGGAGTACGGTGGCGCGCGGCTCGCAGCAGTGACCTGACCTGACCTCCGGCAGCTGGTGAAGGCGGTACTGGAGTGCGGCGGCGCGCGGCCCGCAGCAGTGACCTGACCTGACCTCCGGCAGCTGGTGAAGGCAGTGCTGGAGTGCGGCGGCGCGCGGCCCGCAGCAGTGACCTGACCTGACCTCCGGCAGCTGGTGAAGGCAGTGCTGGAATACGGCGGCGCGCGAGCCCGCAGCAGTGACCTGTTCGGCGACGCAGACCCGGTGGCTGTCACAAAACGCTTCTTCAAGGTAACCGAGACGGTGACGACCTCGCCGGCCCCAGCCGTGCTCGGCTGCCGCGGTTGAGAGGCAGAGAAGGGAGGTGGTCTTGACTGCGGTGAGTTGAAATTGTCTACCTGGTGGCGTCGTTGTCGGGTCAGCGAACACTTTTTATGTTCTTGCGTTCCTGTGGAATATGCTCGCATGCATAGCAAGCAACATGTGGACATTGCGGATTGCTGGGTTTGAAATGGGCCTGTGAGTTAAGGAGAATGCTCAGTATTTGAAGATTTTGAAGCACGTATCAGACACGATCAAATAAGGTTACTTTATAACTATTGTTACACTTTAAGGTGAAAACACTGCTCTAGACAAATGTAAAGTTCTCTATTCAGTCAATATACTGCCTAATGCGTCATTGTTCGATAGAATCATGAAACTTTCATATGGCAGCACTCACATGCAGTTTTTCTATCTCCTAAAAGGTGGCCCGCGGCGGTGTTGGACGTCGTTTGCGCGTGCTCGAGCTCGTGTTTTGGCCCTTTCTCGTGTTGTTCTGGCATATTTAAGTGTAAATTTAAGATGCTCACGTGTTTTCACATGCTCGGTTATAGCGCTATTAAGCTATTCTGTTGCAAGTCTTATTTCCGTAATAACCGTAGGAAGTTCTGATATTATGTGGCACAAAATTTAATTTGTGTTACAATTTTGCATAGCTTGCACAACATTAGTTGAAAGCCAATTGACGAGCGTGTTATCTCGAAATCGTGGTCACGAACGCCATATATGAATGACCCGACACTTATATTTGTCTTGGCCTTAACCGCCGCATGACCGACGTAATGGCAGGATTTGAATAACATGTCGTCATGGATGTCTGGGTTACCTTGAAATAGTCCACGAAAAGGTCTGCACATCTCCGCGGGTGTGTACCTTAGAAATTAGAGGGCTTTAGGTGTTAAGGAGTACAAGGCTGGAGACTGCGCCGAATGACCTTCAAGATGGCTATCTCAGTTCAAAATCCTGTACTAATGTGGAACACTCGCTCCAACTAACCGTCTTTTCATCTACTTGTATTGCTTGTCTGCTGCCTTTTCACCTGACCGCCGCCCTTGCCTTCACTCTTTGGCTGACACAACTTTTCGTTGGTTTTGTGCCCTTGTCGGACTATCTTGAGTTGTAAGTACCAGCTGATTGCCCTGTATGTTATCATGTTTACAAGCGAGCATGACCATGCCGGGCGTGTGCGGCGTAACCGTTGTTTCGTTGGCTTGATGTTCACATGGGCACATGGTGCGGCGAGAACGTTGTGTTGCGTACTGCCACTGATCTCTCCGTGTTTCGAGTGCGCCCTTCTGCGGGCCATGGCGCCATGGCCATGCCATGTTATGCCATGGGCCATGGTGCCACTTGCGGTGCTCCGCGGACGGGTCCCTGGCACACCGGCACCTCCCACTCTGGTGCCAACCGGTTCCAGCGCCCCCCCCCCCCCCCCCTCCGCCGTGTCAGTCTGTGCCTCTGATCCTCCTTACACACATTGTCGGCAGGGTGTCAAGGGTGTGGACAACATCTACACTCAGCACAAGCCGCTACTTACACGGCTGCTGGACGACCTGCTGAAGGGCCGGCTGAAGGAGACGGCCTACCCGTACCAGAACAGCGGCTACGGCCAACCCGTCAGGTGGGCGCCGGGGCGGGGGCTGGCTGTGGTGGACCGGGAGGTCAGGCGGGGGACCTGTGCCCGTCTGGGGTCAGGCATGGGCTCAGTTTGGAGACGGGCGAGGTCCTGTGTTCGGGGGCAGCTGCGTAGAGCTGTGCCTGCTGGGGAGGGGCCGAGGAGTCAGGTTCGAGGAGGGAGGTGGGCTGCGTCTGGGGCTGCATGGGCGGGAGGGGCTGGCTCGCCGGGTGAAGAGAGGGACACGACCTTTGTGGTATAGAATGTCGGGTGTGTGGCCGTTCCAGCGGCTTTGCTTAGAGCGAGCTGTAGAGATTGGTTATGCAAAGCTCATGTGTCATGTTATGCTATGCAAAGGTACTTGTGTTTTCACATCTGGGATTGCACCCGGCTTCTTGCTGGTCCCACGTGAAATATCTGCTCCATGGTGAACAAAGTGTTGCCTTAAACCCGGCATCAATGTTGGCGCGTACATCTCCCAGTTGTCACGCATTCCTCTTCTCAGCCTTATTTGGAGATGACATTGTGACGGGTAGCGGTGTTGGTCCGGCTCGTGCGGCGTCCCAAGCGGCGGCGCTCGCTGTCCCCCATCGCCCAGTTGTGGAAGCTGGCTTCACCAGCCGGATTGGCCATAAGTCGTGACCATTTTACCGAGCGGCGCCGGGTGGCTGTCCGCACAGGCCTGCCGAGATAATCGTGTTCGTCATCGGGGGCGTCACGTTCGAAGAGTCGCTGGCCGTGCATCAGCTGAACTGCAGCGTGCCAGCCGTGCGCGTGCTGCTGGGTGGCACGTGCGTGCACAACACAACCTCCTTCCTGGACGAGGTGCAGGCCGCCACGCAGGCGGCGCACGCGCTCCAGGCGCGCTCTACGCGCAGCTGAGACATCTAGCGGCCGACGTCTGAAACGCAGCTGCAGAGTGTGGCCGTTGGGCGGGCTCCGCTCGTATTGTTTCTGTTCTGCTGCGGATGAATTCGGTGGGATGTGAAAGGCATTGGTGGATGCATTTTGCTTAACCTCTATGCTGTTATTCATTCCAATATCGCTGCTATGGAACGCATGACTGTGCCGCATGGGCGGGGGCGCCCCGTCTCGAGTCACTAGGTTGCGTAAGTAGTATATCGCCTTTCGCTGGCAGCGTCTTGTGCTTTCTGGTACCACAAGTCGGTAAGCGTACTGGACGAGTTGTCACTTCCGTCGGCTTCCTTGGCCCCCTCGGAATAATTTTGCGGTATGTCCGCTGGCTCGCCCCGTCTGATGTGGAGTTCGTTTAGCTGCAATGTGGAAACAAGAAGCCCTGCTTTCTTATCAGTGTTCGTAGAGGATGTGATCGTTCCCTTTATTAATCTCGCAATTGTTACCTGTCGTAATGCGTTTAGTGAGACTGAGTCGCACCGCTGCCGCTGGACCAACTCACGTATCACCGCCATTGTCTCGTGCGCCGCCGGACACTTCGGTTCAGTATTGTCGCAGTCACCCGGGCGAGCACCAACGCCTGATTTCCGCGGAGACTTCGGAAAGAGTTGTTCTGATTGATTCGCTTCAAAACCAGCCTGTTAAATTGCCCTACGCTCTTTGTTGGATGATTAATGTGTCGCATTGCTGGAAGTGTACAGTCACGCTGTTTTGTCATGTGGAATATACGTGTGATCGCGATCTCGGTGTTTGGCGAGGGGAATGCGGCCGTGCAGCCGAAGCTGTTTTTTCAGTGCGGTCGGAAACTGTGTTAACGGCCCGTGTCGTACGGGTGTCTAAAACGGTAATCATCGCCGTCTATTCACACGAAGGGAGTGGAACTGTCTCGACGTCTGGCAAACTTAGCGCGTTAGAGAAACTTGTCCTGTGTCAACACCCGCGTCAGTATCCAACTCACGGAAAACCCCAGAACAAAGAGCGGCCTCGCAAAACACTTACGGTCTCAGCATTCGGTCTGGGTACGCTAGCATCAGACCGTTTGCCCCCCCCCCCCCCCCCCCTCCAAACCCCGACTTCTCACACGGAGCGAAAGGCTTTCTTTCACTTGGGTCAGCGACCGGTGAGACGGAGCCGCGTGAGTACGACATACTTAAATTTTGTCGCGTAAGTGGCGGCGTGCGTTGTGAGGGCGTGCCGAATATAGACGGTTGCATGCCCTGCACCGAAAGTAGGCACGCTCCACGGCTTTGAGAAAGTCGCGTGCCTCACGCTGGCGTTTCGCAAAACGTGACTATTGTACGCTTGGATCCACCAAGTCGAAGCGAAACTGAACATGCTGGAGTTGAGACAGGGCTCTTCATGCGGATAGCCGAGCGCGAGTTGTGGGAAGTCAGCTCCGTAACGCTGACATCTCCCCTCTGCTTCGCGGAGGGGAGATATCACGACCATTCTCGCTAACAAATTGCACATATACGCGCGTACCGGCGCCCGCGCTGCGCCAAGACCCACTCGACCGGTCTTGTTAGTCTCGCTGCGCGCTGTCTCCACACGTACAGACGGCTTCAAATGTCAAATGTATGAGTGTAAACCATGTTGACTATATTGGCACGTTGGCATTACTGGGTATTGAGGCTGCCTTAAATTCGTCAGACACAGCGGCATGTGCTGGGCTTGCTTTCTGTTGTAATTATGCATCTAGTCGACATTGGCCCGCGGCTTGTTTGTCACGAGGGGTAAGTACAGTTTGAACAGCTATTCTGACTATTGCCTTCATTTATCTTGAAACCATCATTGAGCTCAACAACGCAGCACAATAATTCGAATAAATTGTGCTACAGAAATGGCTTGCATTTGGTGTCTAAATGCTGGTAATAGGTTTTGATATTCAATCCATTCCTTTGGTCCTGGTAACTCACCGTGGCTGGCAGGAGCAGCAGTAACAGGAGCGGCGCTGCTCCAGCCACATCGGAGGACGCCCCACTGTCACGCTGCCAGCCGAGTGGCAATCTCGCCCGCCACCCAGCCCCGCCCGTCTCCGGGAGCCCCGCTGTCCCACCCCCACAGCAGCAGCCTGCGGAGGCCTGCGGCCGCCGCTCTGAGCGCAGAATCTCGTCACGGTACGCGGGCTGTCGAGCCGCGTGACGGTGTGACGGTGTGACGGAGGCGGTAGGGCGGTGAGACGCTGAGCGGGCCGCCAGTGGTGGTGTGATGGAGGTGACGGCGTGATCAGACTCACGAGGGCTCCACGGCACCTGGAGGCCAGCGCGCGAGGGCTCCGCGGCACCTGAAGGCCAGCGCGCGAGGGCTCCGCGGCACCTGAAGGCCAGCGCGCGAGGGCTCCGCGGCACCTGGAGGCCAGAGCGCGAGGGCTCCGCGGCACCTGGAGGCCAGAGCGCGAGGGCTCCGCGGCACCTGAAGGCCAGCGCGTGAGGGCTCCGCGGCACCTGAAGGCCAGCGCGCGAGGGCTCCGCGGCACCTGAAGGCGGCGCTGACCTCTGTCCGGAGTCGGTAGACAACTGGTCTTCGGGAGTCGACTGATCTCGAGCTTCCACTCTGCGTCCACGTATCAGACGCGCTGAGACGCGGCCGCTTATCGAATGCCGGCTTCGTTTCGAGACGGTGTCGGGCGAGACTTCGCCACATACACCACCGCCGGCTCCCCGGCCCCGCCACTCCTTCCATCATCACTCATGGAGAAACCTGCACGCCTAGCGGAAATTGAGCAGCGCTGGCGGGGCGTCTCCGCCTGGTCCGTGCGTCTCCCACGCCGGCCGGAGCGCGGTCGTAACACCCAGCCCGGCGCCGCGGTCGCCACAGCGCCTCAGGTTTTGACGGTCCAACTCCGGGTCAATCGATGCGGTTTTACGGCGCCGCCGAGGTTGTGGGCTCGGAGGCGTGTCCCGAGGGCGGGCCGTCCAGTACCCGCCAGCGGCCGGCGGCCGGCGCCACAAGACCCCAACCGAGTTAGACGCTGTTTTTGCAGGCCCGGGTGGGCACGTGACCCCGTGGCACGTGTCTCGCACTAGAGTGACGCGGACGGCCACTGACGAAACGGAATGTAAGAAACAGGCTGCGCTCTGCAGTTGGCGAAGCGAGTGTGCCTCACGACGCAGGCGGGGCCGCGTCTCTGCGCAGAGCCATTGGAGAGCCACTGGCAGGGGCAGGATGTAATGTGGCTGGAGGGCGACGGGGCGCGCGGCCGACGTCCGCCGCAGACATGTGTGGGGGTAAAGGTCAAACCGGCCACGCAGGCGACCGGGATCGTCGAGGAAAACCGTGGCGTCGACAAAGATCGAGTCGGGATAGACTTGGCAAACTGGCTGGCAGTCATGCACTAGAGCAGTGAAATTGGAATGAAAATGTGAGGTGGGTGAGGGGGTTTTGCACAGACCGGGTCTCACCTTGAGCAAACGTGCGTAACATGAAACATCATGTTATATTGGTATACATTGCTGGTATGACACATCTTGTCCAAGATACCATGATCTTGCGTGTACGGCGGCCCCAGCAGTAGAGCACCATGCCTCAGACAGCGGCATACGATGCACACCGCACCGACTAAAGTTGACGATGCTTTCCACTGGTACTCGCCCTACACATACGACATAGCCGGAATTATAAGCGTTTGGTGTCACTTTATGTTGATAGTTTCAGACAGCCAAGTCCCCGGCAGCGGTGACAAGTTATGACAAGACTTATTGGTTTTCAAAAATTGGGGCTTAGACGAATTTAACACAACGGCGGTCTCGCCAAACGAGGATAGGCTGAATGCTGTTGATATGTGGCAGTGTAGTCCCGACAGAGACCCAATCCATTACTTCATCGAATCGCTGCTTCTAGCTTCGCAAAGTGGCACCGAAATGCATGCAACAAGTAACACTGAAACACCATCGTAGAAGTCGGGAAGGTGCTCCCTTATGTGATGATGTTATCAAACTTCTCGCAGCTACTAGGCTGTGCCGCTTGTCATTATTTTGCGGAAGTCTACAATAGATTATTGTCAACTGACATCGATTGATGTGAAAATCCTTCATCTATTTCATTTCAGCGCACCCTGTCAGAGCCAGCAGGGACTTCTATAGATACCCACCACCTCGCTTCTAACACGCTAGAGCAATGAACAAACATGGCGCAGGGTGTGCGGCGAGAACTTCTGATCCGATACGCTACCAGGAGAATGCGGCTTACCTAAGCTATCCGCTTCACAGGGCATCGAACATGCAGAGATGTTGTTAGCCCTCGGCTGTGTTGAGAAATGTACTATTTATCCGTCAATAAACAAGCCAACTGCTGATTTTCATTATGCCTTATCCTGCCCCCAACTTCGCTAGATTGTAAAGGCTGGCTTATGTACCAGTCTTTTTGAAAAGCGTGATTATTTGACGCGTCTACATGATAGAAGAAAAGGTTCCTGCTGACAACCACTAACTGTAGGTCCTCGTTCAAAAACCATGCTTTTGTATGAACTTCTGTCATAGAGCTTGGAAACAGCGCCGGTGTCGACAGCCTTGCATGATTTCCAAGCGAGGCGTCCCTTAAAAACAATATTTCCTAATGGTTTAAGTTGATTTTGGTATTAGAGCATTGTTACCTGCGCTTGCTAGTGGATCATCTTCATATACTTTCATGATATTGTGATTGACTTAAATTTGGTTTGATTGGTGTAGCAACTATTGACATGGGTCAAAATGATCTACAAAGAAAGCGTCTGTCATACGAGTTACATCGTGAAATCTGAGGCACAACCTGCCGCTTTTAAACCAATGCATGCCCAGGCGAGCGCATTTGTCGTACATTTCGAACTATTCATTCAAAATGTTATCAAAACCTATCCACAACGCTCAGCCTTCATCCAAAACCTTCGACCTATTCGTCCAAAACGTCACGCATTCTGTGAAAACGATGCGGCGGTTCACAAATCGCTCTGCACGTAGACGGTGGCGCCGTCTACGCCGTGGACCGGATATTTACGCGACCATCTGCACTCGTCCCCAAAGACTCAGCTGAGACAAATGGCTTGTGTATGTGACCACTGATGTACTGGGCCCAGCGTGCTGGCTAAAGTGGTAGCTGGAACGCTGCCATCACTGTGTTTGTTCTCAGATCAGCGGTCCCGCACCGTCTAAAAAGGATTGCGAGCACATCAAACGCTAGCCAAAACGTGTTGGATTTCACGATCAGCGTGAAAGCGTATCGTCGCTGCCAGGTTGGATGGACCCTTTTTGCTGTGTGGCTCGTTAAACACAGAGTGTCTTGGTGGAGGGCCGCCTGCGCTGTCCCGTCCTGCGCAAACAACCCGGCCTAGGCCATTACAGGCAAGCGTGCGGTGCCTTCGAGCTGTTTTCCCGACCTCCACAGGGTGGCCACGTATTCCCCGATCGATGGTGTCTGAACCAACGTGCTAAAACAGACGCCGCACGGAACTCTGTCAGGCAACCGTGCATGGCGCATAACGCCTGCAGCCGCTGCTGACAAGTCAGGTCGCCTGCGCCTGCTGCCCAGCGTTCGACCGAAGCCAGAGCCGACGGACGAGTTCGCAGGGTGTTTGCTGAGTCCTTGCATCTACTTCTGCATCGGCCTGGTGCCGCTCAGATCTGCTGACTCCTCCCTTACTCCAGCATTTGCTTTCTGCCGATCTGCCGAGGTTCCCCGCTGAGGCAGACGCCCTTGTCACCCCCACTGCAATACCATTCACATGTCTCATCTGCTTGACCTCTATGGTGCCGCTCATGTCTGCTGAA